ATAGAGCTTGAAAGATCAAAGACAATTTTTAATATAACTCCGACCGGATTCGTCTGAAAGAAGAAAGTCATATATACCTAGGATGCATCGGGGGGGCGGGGGAGTAAAAAACAGCCTAATTTTCATTTTCGGGTGAACTACCCCTTTAAAATACCATCTTGTTGTGATGTTGGGTGCGACGACAGCTGTGGTTAAACGCGATAAAACGAGCAGACTGGACAGAAACGATCGTAAAAAATGCACGCGTTTGCAGTGCACACTTCTTATCAGAAAAGGTTCAATAAAGTATTGTCTTTTGTTGTTATGGGTGCGTCTACAGATTTCTTGCCATATGTCTATGTTTCTTGCATCTCACGACTATGTCATGTATGAAATAATGTCTGTGTGCATGTGTGTAAAACAACAAACTGACGATTTATATATAATCATTTGTAATTGTATATATATTGTTGTGATTAATTGTGGCTGGAACAATAATGTAGCTGTAAAAATAGTTGCCTGCTGAAATTGAAATGTATATACATCTTCATCATGACTAGATGGACATGGTGAGTTTGTCTTTACTATACACGTTAGATGTGATCCATAATCCTGTCAGATTGTCCATCCTTTGAGTGAGAGTGTAACGTTATAGGTCGGCTGATCTGGTTTCGTGGTTAAAGTTAACCTTTTCGACATGTTTCCCTGTTGTCGTTGCTCAGCAATAGCATGGACGCGATGTTGTCTGGGGGTTTGGCAAAAGGAGAGTGGGACGGTGGGCGGTGCTCGGGGTGGTAACTGAAGGCGGTGACTGTGTAGTTCTGACATCAACCTTTTACGGAAGTCACAACGGTTCGTGAAAAATCACAGCTACTTTATGCAGGCTGTGTACTTATATGGTAGTTACATAGCACCTAGACCTCAGTTATCATGAAAAAAGCCAGGAAATGTCAGTTTTGACAATATGGGACCTTTAAATTAATGTAAAAACTAAAATGAATTGTAAAGAGCGCTGTGCCAGATCAGGACGCTACAGAGGGGTTCCAGAGGATAGGTTCAAAGCATGGTGTAAATCTCACAGCTAATATACTGGAGCAGACTCAACTAGGGCACACAACTACAAAGCTCAAAGAGAGGTTAACTCTTCATCACACATGTGAGCTGCTCAATGTACAGCACAGGTAATGTGCAAACAATCCCAACAGAGACCAACACCATATATACTCGCTTTTAACAAATTTGTATGGAAAATGTGAAAGCATTAACAAACTAGCTAGAATATATGAGCAAAACAGATGTGGCCACTGAATGTGGATTCTGTGCGTGCCTGCTAGTATTTTTTTTAATTAATTATTATTAATAATATTATCACAAAAATACAATATTTAATATAAAATTTAAATATAATTAATATAATACATTTTATCCACCTTATTTGGCAACTAAAATAAGCTTTTTATTCATTTGTGCAAGACTTCCAATTCATTAGCTGCTTTAGGTGAATAACTTGAAGCATAAACTGCAGTAAACTGTAAAAGTGTGTGAGTCCTGCACATGACATGATGCAGACAATTAAGGAATATATTTGTGGCCACAAATTAAGAATTTGTTTCCTTTTTCCTTTTATCCAATTCCCTTGTTTTAGGTAAATTGGTGCCATAAATTAAGAATTTGTTTTTTAAATTGTTGAAACAAGTTCTTGATTTATGGCCACAATTTATCTAAAACAAGGGAACTGGAGCACAATGGAGCCCCACACAAAGTGAGAGCATTATAAAGAATTAAAGGGGTCATATGATGCGATTTCAATTTTTCCTTTCAGCACACCTTGCTTTTCAGACCGATGAGCTTTGTAAAAATCGACGTGTTTCAGAAAGGTGGGGCATAGAGGAGAAACAATAATGTACAGTATGTGGAAAATAATGTGTTTTTCTAACCTTAAACCTTGAATGAGATTAGAAGCCTTGCACATCCAAGCGCTCCCATTCTTATGTTAAAAATGAGATGGATACACTAATGTATTACTTACAGTAACTTCACTCTACACTCTTGCACACAAGTAAATTTCTGTGAAGACAACTTTTTCCTATTTCTTTAAAAGAACAACCAAGGCCTCAGCCAAAAAAGCCTTATTATAGAAAGAACCAAATGAAAATGTCAAGAGGTCAGCGTTTATCCCAGTATTCCTCAAGGAACAACCCCACCAACTCAACAGGCTAAAGTCCCTTCATTTAAACGAAGAGCACCAGGTCGCTGAGAGCCGCGCAGCTCATCCCGCAGGCTCATTACCGCGCAGCTCATCCCGCAGGCTCATTACCGCATACAGACTGCCGGCACTGCCTCTCATTCCTCTGGAGCAGTAAGGCGAAAGAAAGGAAAGGAGACGGCTAGCGGGGACGTCGGGACAGAAGGAAGGGAGCAAGTAACGGATGATGTTTTATGTCTGAACAAGCTGAAGAGTGGGGAGACAGATAGCAGACGGTGCAAATGAAACTGCTGGTTTAATTGACTAGTGATGTACAAAGTGCACTGTGGAGATTAACTTTTAAAAGGGAATGATGTGTTGGAAAAAGAAACACTCTGGTGTAGTTACACATTTCCAAACACACATACACCCAAAAACATATCTACACTACCACTCAAAAGTTTGGGATCAGTTGTTTTGTTTTTTTGTTTTTTTTCAAAACAAATATACTTTTATTCAGCAAGGACGCATTAAATTGTAAAATAAATAAATAAAATAAAATAAAAAATATTGTTATACTTATAATGTTATAAAAGATGAAATCTTTTTAAAAAAAAGTATCAGTTTCGACAAAAAATTAAGCAGCACAACTGTCAACACTGATACTAATAAAAAGGTTTCTTGAGCAGCAAGTCAGCATATTAGAATGATTTCTGAAGGATCATGTGACACTGAAGACTGGAGTAATGGCTGCTAAAAAACAGCTTTTCCATTACAGTAATAAATGACATTTTAAAACAGAAAACATAACATTTAAAAAATAAATGACAGAAAACAATTATATTAAAATTCAATAATATTTCACAATATTGCTGTTTTTACTGCATTTTTTGAACATAAGAGATTTCTTTTAAAAACCATTAAAAAAGTCTAAAACACTTAAAAACCAAAACTTTTTTGTAGCGTACAATGCACAAAAGTCAGTCAGATCTATGTATGTTTACAACTGCACAATGAAACTATTCAGTAAGAGTGTATAGAGGCAAAAAAGGGAAACTTTAAGGGTCTGACAAATGGTGAAAAACTGGCATAAGATCTAAATTATTTAAATATCTGATTTTTTTTTATATGTGGACAATTTTTTTATAAGTGGATAAGGTAAAATATTATTAGAAATTTAAATAAACTAACTACTTTTAAAGTGTACCTGTGGATATTTGTTTGACCATTGATATGATACCATACACCACCACACTTCGAGTTTGTTAAATGTGAAATAATGCTTTCATACAAATGTAACCACTTGATATTTCTTTGTGGAGTGTCTGAGCATTTCACACAAGTTAGCATATCCATTTCTCCACTTAAGGGAACATTTAAGAATGCAATTTTATAAGTGTAATTTATTTCAACTAGCACCCTGCTTCTACAAATACTCGGCTGTGACCACCACGACAGGAAACAAAGTTCAAACTGTCTGGCACTCCCTGGCGTGGCAGCCGATGTTGTACTGCCAATGTGGAGATCTCAAATCTTCCACTTTCATTTTAGAATGGAGGTTGAAATAGATCCACTTGTGGAGCGCGCCTTGGATGTCAAGTTTGACACATGCTTTGCTGAGAACTACTGAGGCAGACCTGGCAACCCATCTGAGCTGCGCTGAGGGATGCAGAGAGCTGTAATGAAAACCGTCATCAGTGTACGCCATAAACGGCCACTTCAGAGCG